TAAAAAACAGAGGCTTTAATCGAGTTTTTAAGAGCTTCTTGTGAGGGATGACCTAACCGCTTCTGCCATGTTTCTGCAGTAGTCCAGTGTCCCTTTGAATGGAGTGAAGGAAGAAAGCCGGCAAAATATGAATTGCTGGCGTATGATTAACGCAGTGGCCAGTGCTGAAAGGCTGGATGAATCCGGCTTCTTCTGGAGTTTCAGCCCAAGGTATGCCGAGGTGCCGACAACACGCCCAAGCATCATGTACGATTAACTCTTTCTTGCCCCATGTGTGTTCAACTTCCATAGGTTCTTCGACTGTAGCAAATATCGGTTCTTGGTTAGCCTAACCCCTGTTGCCATCCCCAGAAGCCCATGTAGGTTCTTCTGCTGCTGCTGCTGCTGCTGCTGATGCTGCTTCTATTATCTCTGCTGCAGATTCATCAATGGAGTTGGTGCGAGAAGGCTGAGGCGTGACACAGAAGACATTTAGACCACGATGATCTTAGCGTTGGAAGTCCGTATCCCAGTGAAAATGCCAAGGAGCTAGTGAGACGTTCTTCTCACTCCAGATGCCTTCACGAGTGAGAAACATAAAACGGAAACACCGTCTTTAATTTCTGCGATGCGGACTAAATTGCTTCTCTCTTCCTTCATGTCTCCTAAGTACAACTCCGTGAGCATCGTGTTGGTAGTGGTAACAAAACAAATGCTGCCTTCCATCAGGTGCACTTGTGATGGTAGGTTAAAACCGAGCTCCATGATGACGAGGACCTTGTTAAGGTGAAGTGAAACCTTCGTATCGTTTGATTATAGTATCACGTCCCCGATTGCAGTTGCTTCGATTCTCTGATTGATGTTGTACTTCTCTTCTTTGGAAGGTCTCGCCAGTTGAGAGAAGATAACGACTTGAAGATGCCATGTGGTGACCGCAACAGCTGTCAAGAGACCAAGTGTTAACACGCTCGGGATACGCACGCCTGACAATATGGGCGTACGACTGCACGTTCAATCATCTAGGAAAGCTGTTAGGCTGCTCTGGTTCATCTTCATGAACAACTGCTGGTTTTGGAGGTTCTGAACAAGGGCGAAGACCTTGCTGGTCCTTCTTCCATGTCACTGTCGCTGTCTTCATTGTCTCGTCGGCCCCAGTAGCGTGTAGCAATAGATCAGTGAGGTCTAATCATGCAATTAATGATTGCTTTGCCTATTGCAGGTTGAGTTGAGGAAGGTAAAGGCAGCGAGATAGTCTTGACAAGGGCGGCTTCACCCGAATTCTCCCGATTCCTGTTCTTCAATTTCTGACACTCTTCAATATAATGGCATGCTTGCTTGCAGAACTTGCAGAAGCCCTTTCCTTCTTTTCTTGTCTGCTCCCATTGACTTGATGCACCTCTTGTTTGCTCCCCTTGACTTGGTCCACGTGTATAGAAGCTTAACACACTCTTGGCTTTGCCTCCTTTTGCATTGTACAGGTCCAAGTCCTGCTGCTCTGCCATCAGAGTAGCACAAAGCGAAGTTTATGAGATGTTCCCTTGGGAACGAAAAAGGGACTTGCACTGCCTCCATTTGGGTCCAAGTTCGGCCAGAAGGATAGTAACGAAGAGCTCATTGCTGAGATTTCCTCCGCACTTGCCGAGCTGGTCTCGAAGATTTTTGCACCTGCTGATATAGCTGCCAGCTTTCTCTCCCGTAAGCATTTGCGTCGCTGTAAGTTGACTTAACAGCTTGCTCTGTGAAACAGAATCTTGTGCTTGATAAAGTCTTCGCAGGTAATCCCAGGCGTAATAGGCTGGAACAATCAAAGGTTTGAAGCACCAAACTGCTAACTGCTCTTCAGGTGAGAGATTCCACACAAGGATAATAATAATTTATAATACATGCATATTTGTAGTCCCAGAAGTACCTATTCGGAATGTACCAATTCGTCGTTTATCGTGGCTATTCGCGTAACATGTCTACTGACCAGGGACCAAAATTGGTTTTAGGCCACTCTTAGGAAACAGGGTAGGAAAACAAATATTACCCTGGCGTCCAGGGGAAAAAAAATGAAGTCTGATTTGACAGGGTAAAATATTTCGAAGTCTTTGCTGTAAATGTAGAAATATTGGTACACTGTCTAGCCTTGGCCTTTTTAGATGTACTAAAAATGTTGGATAGGAATGAACTAGGCAGCACTATTGGAATGAAGTATGCTCTGTAGTGGATTTGCGCGTGCGTGACGAGATGGAATGATGGGATGGAAAACGACATTGGGGCGCGAGAGGGGAATCAAATCTACAAGGGCGGCAGAAGGGTGGGAAAAAACCCACCTACTCGTGATTGGGTGGGTGTGGGAGGGGCGTATGTGACGTGACGTGTCCTACTGTGGTGTGGGGGATTTAGCGAAAAGCTAAGGATAGGGGTGTGGGTGGCATGTCTCTTATTGGGGACTTGGCCATTTCTAGGTTGCGGGGGGGTGAGGGAGTGACGTCTCTAGTGATAGGGACTTGGCCGAAATTTCTAGATTGCAGGGTGTGTGGAAGAAATGTGTCTGGCCACGAGGGACTTAGAGTAAATTCTTCACCTCGGGTCTGACCCGAGGTTGACCCGTGGTCGAATGAGCCGCGGGGTTTAGAGGCTCAACCTTGGGTCTAGTGACTTTGACGGTCGTGCGCCTAAAGAGGTGCAGAAGGTCGCAAAACGAGTTGACCATGTACAGCAAACCGCAAAGAGTTGTCGCAAAAGTGAATTGGGAGGTGTACATTGGCGGGCGACGTACTAGCACCACTTGTAGGCCGGTAGGTTGGTCTGTGAACGGAGTGTTTCCTGTCAAGCAGCCGTCAGGAGTGGTAGGACCCGAGGCAATTTTTTCCACCTTGGGTATTCCCGTATGACACTAGTGTCAGACACGAGCTCCATAATTTACTCTTAGCCGAAATCTCGACGTTTCGGTACGAGGGCAGTTTTCAGGACACCATGACGGCTCAGGGTGCGGAGCCCCGCAACCCTGTTTTCGTCAGGGTAAATTTATCTTAACACTTTTTGGATCAGGGTTATAATTTCGGGAAGTCTGATTTTTAAGACCAAATGAAAGATTCCTTGAAAAAACAGGGCAATCAAGGCATTTCACCTGGCTAATTCGGGGCATGCTAGTGACTATTCGTTTGACTGAGTGGTGTGACCCTTCGGGTGACCATATGCGCGAACCTAATGTTCACGCATTGACTCGCTACTGCTGACGTCATCACGCACGTCCTTCCATATGAGGTATCCCGCTACTAGTACAATCTAAGTCTAATATCATGAATGCATAAATGTTAACTCTATGGAGTTTACTTCAACAGCGAATAGTCGAAATTCACCACGAATAGGTATATTCCGAATAGGATCATCCTAGACTATAAATATGCATGTATTACTCATGATTATTATCCTTGTCATCTCTGATATTTCCAATACAAGGTGTAAAGTCTTTTGCTAACTTTCTACTCTATGTTCCACCAACTCTATATCCTGGCACCCTAAACGCGTGTTTCATTTCAACACGCTCTACCTAGTGGACTTGCGGGTCTAGGCTGTTTTGGATGTTAGACTCTAGTGTTCGGCGCTCTCCCTGCGCCTCCTCGTTGCGTTTTTTCCTTTCTTTGCGCTTCTGGTGGCCTGGTTTTTTGCTGTTCTTTCGGCATTTCCCCATTCCCTTGCCTTCCTTCTGTGGCTACCGTAATTTGTCTGTATGTTGTCTGAATTCTTTATAATAAATACGTTATACCAGCCGTGTGTGTGTGTGTGTATGTGTGTGTGTATGTGTGTGTGTGTGTGTGTATGTGTGTGTGTCTATGTGTGTGTGTGTGTGTCTATGTGTGTGTGTGTGTGTGTGTGTGTGTGTGTGTGTGTGTATGTGTGTGTGTTTTTTTGGTTTTTTTTTTGGAGGAACCATACATTGTAGGGAAAAACAATGCACGGTAACCACAGTCGTGACTGGTTCTTGAGGGGGACAACGGTGCGGTGCACCACCCCCCTGCTAGTTCTACAGTGGTTGGAAATTAGTCCTAGGGTCCTTCCAGATGGATTTAAGCCCACTGTTCCACACCAGCAGTTTGGATCGTCTCACACATAGCCTGCGGAGAACCACGTTCTCATCCTTGTCCATGTGGCTCCATCCTGTCCCTCAATAGCCCCTTCTCTCCAAGCCTCTCCTTCTGAGCTGTATGTTGCTATACGTTCTTGCATGGAGCCTGAAATCCATCCCGACCTGTCTCCAGACCCTCCCCGAGCAAAAGCGCTTGCCTCGATGAGAAGCGCTATCGCTGTAACTGTACACTTTGAAAAACCCGACCTGGTACCCCCTTTTTGAAACAGCAAGTCTTCCACTGACCGAACCGTCCTCCCCGGATTCATAAGTTGCAAAACCATCTTAAGCGCGCCAACTACCGGCTGGATCTTCAAGCACGTAAAAAGGGCGTGTGTGATATCCTCCTCGTCTCTGCAGTACGGGTAGCATGCCCTGATTCCCAAGAACTTCAAATGCCTGCCCACCTGACAATGTATCCTTAACAGCACATCTCTCGCCTTGCGCGGCACCACCTTCAAGTCTCTTCTGCAGATCGTCCTTCTCCAATCGATTATTCTCCCCCACGTCTCTTCCCAAGTTGCTTGTTGCTTTGGTACTCCAACAGCAGCTATAAGCACGTGAGCCACTTCCTTCCGAGCAACAGGCCGGCCAGTTTCACATATCCCTGAAGCCACCAGCCTCGTTTTGGGCTCTCCCATCACCCCTAGCATCCTGTTGTCCTGCACTACCATCGGTACCGCGTCCTCCGCCGTTACCATGACCATTTCTGATGGATCTTCCATCATCTCCCCGGTTCCACTCGTTGCAGTTACTCGCACACACTACAACCGCTGCCCTCTGACTCCAACTATTTTCCACATCGATAAACCTACGCCCCTTGGCTCCCGTCTGCCGATAACTATGGTCACCCACGCCACCTCTTCCCCGTGCAGTTGACTTAGCAGCAAGCGTTTCCATTCCACTGGTATTATGCCAAAAGCCTTCTCAGCTGCCTTAGCCATTGCAGCGCACCACACCTCTTTTAGATCTCTGTTGCCATCACTTCTTCTCACCACCAGATCACCCAGAGTCACCCCCCCGAGCTTCTCAGTTCCTACTAGACAGCCGAAAGGGGAGCGCCCCCCATGAAGAATCGATTTGTTGAACGTTAGCTGCTCCCTTTCCACCTCCCACCTATTCGTAGCCTTCCACGTCCCCCCTCCCTTCCTCCAGTGCTTGAGTACTGCCGGATGGAAATAAAACGTCGCGTACCTGAGCGGAAGGCTCGCCGCTTTCTCCGCGAGCCAAACCTTCTCCTTGCACTTCTAGTACACCAGGGCACCTACCGTTCTCAGTGCCATCGCTCCTACCCTTGCTTGAGGATCTTGCACCCCCAGACCGCCCTCTTGCCTCGTGGAGCACATCAGCTGCTGACTCCACAGAATAAAGCCTTTGTCTGTATTTGCCCTCCCTCCCGACACATTATTGTGGCAGAGCTTCCACACCTTGTTCCATATATCCTCCGACGGTGGGTATATATGTGCTTGGAACAATGCTATCAGCAGCACGTAATTGTTGATCATTGTAACCCTCGCTGTTGTAGTAAAAAACTTGGGCTCCCACTTCTTTAGTTCTCCCCCCATCCTTTCTAGCGCCCTTTCCCAGGGGAGACCGGCCGACCCGTTCGGCGTGATCCAGACTCCTAGTAACCGCTCCGTCTCCGCGGACATCGCCCACTTGAACAGCTGCGTCTGCGGTGGCGGAAAATCTATTTTCACCTCGAGAGGAATGACTACAGACTTATCATAGTTTGTTCTCAGCCCCGAGATCTGCCCAAACTCCTGCAGAACCCCCACTGTCTGTTCCAGCAGATGCTTCCCTCGAAGAAGCAGCTTGGTGTCATCTGCATACCCCAGATATGCTAATCTGCCTGCTCGCTTCTCGCCTATCCCCAGATGCCTCCGCTTCACTTCCTGACACAGCGGCTCCATAGCACAGAGGAAGAGATAGGGCGCTAAGGGACATCCCTGCCTAACTCCCACCTGTACCGCCACTCTCTCCCCCAGCCATCCATTTGTACACACCCTCATCGTTGCATCACGAGGTAACCCCTCCACCCATCTGACGTAAATTTTCGGAAAGCCCATCCGCTGCAGGACCGCAAATAGATACGGCCTGGCGATAGTGTCATACGCCTTTTGAAAGTCAACGAGTAGTAGGAGCCAGTTCTCCGACCCGTTCTTCGCCGTGTCGATGGCATCCGCCACCAACGCCACCGCATCCGCTAAGTGTCTCCTTGGTAAGAAATCATGATGGCCCTCAGAGATGACCTTGTGCAACCTCATCTTGAGCATGTTCACCATTACTTTAGCGATTACCTTGTAAGACGTGTTCAGTAGTGAGATAGGACGGTAGTTCTGCAGCTTATCCAACGGGCCCTTCTTATGCAGTTGAATAGTAACCGCCATTGTAACCTCTGCCGACAACTCTGTTGTCCGCGTGAAACCATTGATCAAGCCCATGATCTGCCCCCCCAGCAGATCCCAGTGAAGCTCCAAAAGTTCCTTCGGCAAGCCATCCACCCCAGGGGACTTATTTTTTGCCAATTCCGCAATCGCACGCCTCACTTCCTTCTCGCTCCAAGCTTTCCCCAGCCGTGCAGCATCTTCCGTTGAGAAACATTTCTCCGATGACATATCCCAGCGGGGTGTCCCTGTCTGAGCCTGATTCTCCCCAAACACCTCTGTAAAGTACTCCGCCGCTGCCTCCAACACCTCCTTGGTGCCCGCATATGACCGGCCGTTATGCTGCACCTCCGCGATAGACGTCCTTGTCTTCCTGGCCTTCACTTTCGCTGACAGGAAATGGGACGGAATCTCCCCGTTTAATTCAGCTGCAATGCCAGCCTGTAGACGCAATATGTCGGTACAGCTATATGAGTATTCTTTGAGCATTGTCTCCTTCTCCTGCAGCCGACTCCGCAACTGCAAGTCACTGGGATTTCTCATGAAAGCTTGTCTCATTTCCCCCACCACCTTCTCCAGGTGATCTGTGGTGGCCATCATTCTCTTCCGCTCTCCCTTGCAGTAGAATCGCAGACCCGCTCTCAGCTTCAGCACCAGCAGATCGTAATCCTCTCCTCTCTCCTTGTTCCTATTTGCCACACCAGCGATGATCTTCCTGACCCCCGGCCGCGTAGCCTGTGACGCTGGGAAACGCCACACACTGGTTCCTTTGACCCCATTCCCTTCTACCCCAATGCGAGCCTTGACCATGAACAGGTGATCCGACACCCATTTCGGGAGCGACACATGCCAAGCCTCCATGAACCGGTGCAGGAGTGAGACTGATGCCAAAACTATGTCGATTCTTGAGCTATATTTCCCCGCCTTCAAGTAGAACGTGTATTCGCGCTTGCTCGGGTTCAATACCCTGAACACAGCCTGCATGTCAAAGGCATCGCAGATCTCCAACAGCCGTTCGTTTTCGCCTCCTGATCCAACCCCAGACGACCGATCCAGCGGCAAGTCCTCTACAATGTTCAAATCTCCCGCCTGGATCAAGTGTTCTGCTGGTCTTACGCTGTCTATGAAAGGTTGTAACCTGTCCCAGTAAAAACTGCTTCTGTCCATTGCATGAGCAGGAAAATACGCCGCCACCAAGACAAACCCCAAGCTTCTCCAGGCCAGTCTCGCCTTCACGAGTCTCCCGGAACCATCCTCCTCCACATCCCTCTGCGTAATCTCTGCCGAGAAAAATAGGCTAGCCACCCCACCAGCCTTCGATATGGACGAGACCACCGCTTTTGACGAAGGCCCGAGCTGAGTCCATAAATTATGATATGTCGGAATCCTAGTGTCTGTTAAGACGACTACGTCTGCAGCACTCCTAAACCAGTTCCTACATCTATTTTGCTTTCTGGAGCTGGACAGACCGTTGACGTTCAGCTCACAGACGGTGATGCTATTGGCGGAAATCATGAGGAACCAGCATTGCGCCCCCATATTATCCACAGGCCAAAAGGAAGGTACTGCAACGACTGGCTACTATAACCAGGTGAGTACAACAGACAAAGTAAGCTACCCTTTCCAGCCTTAGTGCTACCTTGAGATCCTACACCTACGATAACTGGAGACAACCAACTGTGACAGCCGCTGCGATGCTGAAAGATAACCGTAGGTAAGACACTAGGTCTTAGATCAGGGTTTCGGCGCGGATACCGAAAGCTTTCTTCACCCCCTTGAGGCTCAGCTTGCCCTTGGAGCAATGCGTTGCAGTATCCTGCTTGCCGACAAGAAATCCATGGTGAAAAGCCTTGATATGGTCGACCGCCTCCTTGAAAGTGAGCCCCTGACACTTGTCGCAACCATCTTGAACACACATCCACTGCTCCCGGATGGCATTCATCGAAATAAGGACAATCGTCGGATCCATGAAAAATCCTCCTCACCTTCGCTGCGACTTTCAGTGGCGCCGCTATGCGGTAAGTGATACGTGAGAGAGTCAGTACCGACAGACATGACAGCAACCGTAACATGTGAGCTGGAAAGACTCCAAATCTTCTTTTTACCGTTGGTCGTATGAACTTCACTCAACGTCAGATGCCACTTCACGATGTTGCTCTGCCGCTACTGGACATACTCGTCATGTAGCTTGTCCATATGCTGACCGCTGCAGAGCGTACATGTCAGTGATAGGTAATGAACTAGAAAGCGCTTCCCTTCGTTAAACGGGTCACTAATCAGATGACACCAGCGGTATTCATCCGCATGGTGTGGAACCACCAAACCTTGAATCTTATCCATCCCCAGCCCCAAGTCAGGATCCGCCACTCGATGGAAACCGAGGCCGCGTAAGAAGGCCGAGCGCTTACGACCAACCAGGATCGCCACCACCAGCAGCTTGCAGATGTCAACCGGTGTAAGCTTCACCAGGATGTTCTTCAGGAGAACCTCGATCGCTTCCGGTGATTCAGACTTTGCTTGAAGAAAGACCTGGTTAACCGGAAAATGCCAGTCGAAAGCCTACCTCGAACCACCTTGACAGGTGTGCTCAACCTTGTGTTTCCGGACCACCTCCACACTTGTCTTATGCATAAAAGTGACCTTGAGTCTTCCAAATTGCTTCTTGGACAAAAACGACAGATGTAGCTCCTGGAAAGACGTTGTATCCAAAACCTCTGGCGATAGCTTCATCCTTCGGCGAAAAGCCAACAGGGCCAGAACCGAATCCTTTGTTGCTGGCACCTCCTTCAGGTAACTGTCAAGAACCAAAAGTGTCAGAGAAACCTTGCCATTAACAGTAATTTCACCAAGCAGCACTGGATCCATTCCCTCATCCGCGTCATCATCCTTAAAGCCGTCGTCTTCATCCTCATAATCCTCGTCATCTGAGTCATCCACACCTCCAGCAGGAGCTGACGATGAACTTTTTGAACGAAGGACGCTAGGAAGCCATGGAATGGCACGAGGGTTTAGCTAGGAGAAAGTTACAAGAGAAAAGAGGTTGAGAATAGAAGAGAGAGGGATACAAAGAGGGGGGTTGTACCCTCTATAGTAGGTTTCAGTAAAACCTACCAAGCCTACCAATTATATATCAAAGATATAATTCAGCACACCCCCTAGGCTTGGTAGCCGAAAGCATACCACACACACCCCCTAAATCTAGCACCCTCATACTCAGTAGCAGCGACGGCTACACCTCCCCCCCGGTCAACCCCTCGGCGCGTGAGGCGGCGACGTCGACAGCAAGGGCTACGGCGGCAGCGTCGATAGCGGCGGCGGCGGCGGTGTGCGGCGGTGTGGCCCCAACGCAAGCGGCGACAGCGGCGGCGGCGGGGGAGCTCGTAGCACTCGGCGGCGTGGCCGGGCTCCGCGACGGTGGGACGGCCAGTGGGAGGCAACCATCGGCTGCAACGAGGAAGAGGGGATGCAAGGAAGGGGGGGCGGGGCTTCTGCAACATGCACGTGGCTGGCGTGCGGGCGTCAGGACCGGCGGCGCCTAAGACGTCACGCGGTTCGCTGGCGCCCATCGACGCCGCCACTGTACCATAGCGCCGCCTCCACATCACGGCGTCGATGCCGCGGCGGTACGTCGACGCTGCGACGGCAGCACAACGCCGTCGCCGCGGTGTAGCGTTGACGCCACGCGTCAAGGCTGCGATGGCTGCACCACGACGCCATCACTGCAGCGCTGCATGGCCGCGACGGCGGCACGAATGTAGCGGAAACGACGATACGCGGTGGGAGCGCGGGGAGCAGGCCTGGGAAGGGCAGCCTGCTCTGTTACCATGTCGATCTAAGCACGCTAGGAAGCCATGTAATGGCATGAGGGTTTAGCTAGGAGAAAGTTATGAGAGAAAAGAGGTCGAGAAAAGAAGAGAGAGAGAGATACAATGAGGGGGGTTGTACCCTCTACAGTAGGTTTCATTAACACCTACCAAGCCTACCAATTATATATCAAAGATATAATGTAACAGAACTAGCAACATGCACCGCTCCGGCAGGATTAGCCCCCTGCTGAGCCACCGACACCACCGGCACAGGAGACGCTGACGCTTGCTGAGCATCACAAGTAACCACTGCATCAGTGCCGTCCTCAGCATCTGAAACCTCATGATCATCCAAAATCTCATTACCCTCCAGCACAGCTGTCTTCTGCAGATCATCAGTATCTGAAGACCGATGACCAGCCTTGGAAGAGGAAGCCTTAGCTGGCTTGACTTGAGGTGGCATTGTTGTGTGACGATGATAAACCAGGAGCTGTCCTTGAAAGACAGAAAAACCATGGTTACTGAGCACTATAAAACCATTGCTGAAGCTTTTCTGCCGATACTTCCAGCTGAGACGCTAGTGACTATGAAAACCAGCGATTGCATGATGCAGATATCCTTCTGATACCCACTTATTAGCTGTCCTTTCCACGCTGCCTTGATTGCTCCAGATGCTTTCGGTCGCCAGGTCCTTCAAAACCGTAGGGGCCACCCCGGGATTCCTGGAACCACATAGTGAACCCCTAAAGTTCTCAGTTTGAACACGAAAAAGGGTGAACCTTATGCAGCTTGAAGCAGATAACACGTTAGTAATAAAGAAAACCCTGTCTGATAAGAAATTGCCGGACATTGGGAGCTCCGAAAGCACTGTCATCAGCCATGGCAGCCTTGAAGACATTTTTTTTTGTTTTAATTCTCTTATACCAGCTTTGTGTTTTGTTCCATTTTGATATGCCCTTGTAATGGAGGACGGACATGTGCGGACCCCACCTCAGAAGGGATGAGTTTTGTGGTTGAGAGAGATGTTCGGGCATCCTGCTTTTCCGCCGCCTGCTGAGTTTGGACGAATCTCCGAGTGCCACGAGCTTGGGAAGCAGGTTACCTCTGGGCTTTTTGCTCAGATAATTACGGACGCTCCCCATGAGCAGGCCTCTTTGCTAACAAGGCATTTACCCTAAATGTTGAGAAATTAAGAGTAACTTTTCAAGTGATTCCGTTATTTCATAGTGTGATTTTTTCCGAATCCGTCCAACTTACGGAAACAATTTCACGCGATTCCTTGGCCTAACGAGTTACTTTTTTTTTTTCCGAATACGTACGGGCTATACTTGTAGCAGGGCAATCTGTAGCAGTGACCCCCTCCACAAACCCCCCCCCCCATAACCCCTTTCTCACCCCGCCCAACCCCGCCTTGATCACTTGCTAGCCGAATTTGTAGCGGCCGATTCCTTTCGGTAATGGGTTTTTTTTTTGTTTTTTTTTGGGGGGGGGAATTCCGTCTATTCACGTATATCCTGAGGCGATTCCGTCCCCTTCCGGAATACCCTGGGACTTAGCGAGAGGCCTGCCCGTGAGCCTCGAGGTCCTTTTCATATTGACGCACAGAAAGCCACACTCGCTGACTGGCTGACGGCGCGCCGCTAATCTTGCGGGGAAGAGATTGGCGGAGAGCGAAGCGAGTGAGCTTATGTCAGCGGCTTGCAGCACTGTGCTGTACTGAGCTGTAAATGCCTCCAACTCCTCTCGAATCGCGGTTTATCCACTTTTGCATGAGGCACACGCAAATGAGGCACTTTTGTGGATCAGTCTGGATAATGGGCGCATGTCGGAGCGAGAGCCCGACACGTGGTGAAAAGGACGTCATGCCGACATGTTTGCGCGGTGGATGCGCGCTCCCCTTGTCTTGTTGGACCCGCAGACGACGGATCGAGTCCCCTCTTCCGCAGTGTAGGGTGGTGGTTGGGCGGGCAGTGCAAGCACGCCAGTTGTGGACAAGCGACGGGCCCGCTGCATGTGTCTGCATGGTGAGGCTTCTGCTGTGCGAGCTGGAGACCTTGTGTCATCTCCGACAATGGTTTCAGTAATTCTCGTGAAACATGACATTGCTTATCGCAGTGAAAATGACCCCAGCTGTTAAACACCTGATATGGTAAATACCCCCTTCTTCCCAACCGCGACGCACCAGAATGTCCGAGTCTCCATCCGATTTGCTGGTGGTCGTGGGGCTTCCGCTGCCCCAGCGCGTAAGCGAGCGCAACGGAATCCGCTGGTCATGGAACCGCGGACCCTATCATTTCGGACTCGCCTCGGCGAGGAAACTCCGCTACCAGTGCTCCCGGACCAGTTCCGTCTCCGGACCGAACGTTCTCAAACCGCGCACAGATCAAAAGCACCCCTTGGGCCTCCGCTCCACCCCACAACGCCTCCTCGCCCGCCCCCTCCATTACGAACCAAAAGCCTCTCCTCCACCACCCCCCAACACGACCCTCCACCCCTCCCCTCGGACCGCAGGCCCAGCTGCCTCTGATCGGGCACACGTGGATAAAAGGGGGTCCAACTCCTTAATTGGTCTGCCTGATCAGATCGGTTCCCCTCCCTCCCTCCCTGCTCGGTTTTCAATGGTCTCCCTCTCGCTCCCTCGCATCACACAACACAGCTGCATCATTTGATCTGCTAGCTGTTAGCTGCTTCCTGCTAGCTGCTCGTACTCTCCTCCCCGTTCTGCCCACCGAACGGACACAGCCATCACGCGCACTCCTTGATCGCGCAGCACACAAACGTGTTCAGCCCTCACAGCCTCGTTCCCCTCAACGACTGCAGTCATCGCATCGTCGCCGCAGTTTGAAAGACAGCTCACCGAAAGAGCAGCTCTCTGAAATGGCTGTATCTGTTCCTCGTAGATTATCCTCTCCCTTAGGTCTGAACCCTGCGACTGCCGGCGTGCCGTCCTGCCGGCCTTCCTCTTATCAAGGGCCCAACCGCCCAAATCGAGCGTCCTTTGGGCAACCGGCCCTCTCCGCATCGTTGGCCGGGCACCGCCAATCCAACAACTTATTCGCGGAATGCACACCAGCAGCCCTCCTCAATTCGTCGCACTCGTCGCACGCTACGTCGCACTCCTTCGCCTCCACCGCCAACTCTCGTCGCCATGTGTCGCACGCCGTTCGCTGCGAGGCTCCCGCGAGCACGGGTTCTGAGCGCGAGCAGCAGCAGACCCAGCAGCAGCCGCTGCTCGTCGTACCTCCGTCGTTCGATTACAACGAGAAGATGAAACGGCAGATGGCGAACCCGTACGAGTACCACCACGAGCTCGGTATCTACTACACGCGCGTGCATCCCAAAATCATCGTCGGATCGCAGCCGCAAACTCCCGCCGACATCGACCGATTAAAGACATCCGAAGACGTGCAGGTGATACTTAATCTCCAGCAGGACCACGATATAACCTACTGGGGAATCGACATCGACAGTATCATCCGACGGTGCAGGGACCTGTCCGTGCAGCATTTCAGGTGCCCCGCGGTTGACTTCGACCCGCACTCGTTACGCCGCGAACTTCCGCGAATGGTCGCCGTGATCGCGAAAGCCGTCGCGGAGGGGAAAACTGTCTACGTTCACTGCACCGCGGGCCTCGGCCGGTCCCCAGCCGCTGTTATCACGTACCTCTTCTGGTTCTCCGAGCCGCAGGTTGACTTGAACTCGGCGTACGAGCGCGTTACATCTCTCCGGCCGTGCGGTCCGAAGAAGGACGCGATCCGTGGCGCGACGTACGACTTGGCGAAGAACAGCCCGTACCAGCCGCAGTTCGAGCAGCTCCCGGACTTCGCGTTCAATGACGTGGCGCAGTGGGAGAGGGACCTCATCCGGCAACGCGTGTGGGCCATTGCGTAGTGGCACAGCCGCAGCTCCAAGCTCCAGCAGCAGCAGCAGCAGCCGCAGTCGCAGCAGCAGCAGCGGCAGCGGCTGCAGCAGCAGCGCGACTGTGACTGACACGTCAGATAGCGTTCTAGGCTATGGTTGGGGTTGTATGTACTAGCCCAAGCCAGGGGCGTCTAAGCGCCCGGTAGGGGCTCTATTCCGCTACGGGTTCAGATCGTGCTCTTGTAGGACTAGCAACTCAGCAGCTGTCGTGGCCGCTCTCGCTCAGCAGTAAGGGGGCTCGTCTCCCGTTTCTATTCCTTTAAGTTGCCCCCACAACTCCTGATTTTCCGGCGGTTGCTGATAGCGCCAATGCCTGAAATGTGCTGGGGTGACTAGGGCCACCGGGCGAGTAGAGAGTCTGGCAGGGCGCATGGCAGCCACCATGCTAGAATTAGGTTCAAGATCCGCCATGGCTTGTGGGCAGAGCTGCAGCAGCCGCGTGGGACAAGATTACCTTGGGATGCGAAACGAGCTGCTGTTGGGGAATCTTCGGTCCCATGCGCATCCCCCCCGTTCCCTTGGAGGCAGGAGCCTGGTTTTGATCGGACTCAGATGGACAAGGCTGCCGGGAGAATGGCCTGCTGATGGGGGGTGCTGCCAACGGGAGCATTGGACGCTTGGAGATCCCTTTCATGGGTAAGGTGCCTTAGTGTACTAGGTTGACAGTTATGTACTAGATTAAAGCTTGTGTTCGATGTTTGTGGATTGTACATAACACATTTGTGTACCTCTACTACACCCTTACACTTGTTTGAATGCCCTCCGGGGGAAGGGGGGGGGGGGGAGGGGTAAGTGTTAAGAGACTAGGTAGCTAGGAAGCCATGGAATGGCGTGAGGTTTTAGCTAGGAGAAGTTGACGAGAGAAAAGGGGAATCTAGAATAAAAGAGAGGGATACAAGGAGGGGTGTTGTTGTCAACTTATACATATGATGTTATGTAGAAGTTATAGGTTAGATAGGTGTATGTTCTTAGTGGGTACAACCCCAACACTATATCTGTTTCTCCCTTGTTTCAATCATCTTAGTATTCTAACATGGTATCACTCGTAGGTTAGGTCCCCCCCCCCCCCCCACCCGCTTCCGCCCCGCGCCCTAGCCTACCGCGCCTCGCCGGCCCCTTCGCGACCAGCCGGCCCGCCCCTCGCGCCGTCGCTGGCCCCCTAGCGCCCTAGCCAGCCCCTTCGCGACCAGCCGGCCCGCCCCTCGCGCCGTCGCCAGCCCCTCGCGCCGTTGCCGGCCCCTAGCGCCCTAGCTGGACTCTCGCGTCGTCGCCCGCCCCTAGCGCCCAGCCGGCCCCTTCGCGACCAGCCGGCCCGCCCCTCACGCCGTCGCTGGCCCCCTAGCGCCCTAGCCGGGCCCCTTCGCGACCAGCCAGCCCGCCCCTCACGTCGTCGCCAGCCCCTCGCGCCGTCGCTGGCCCCTAGCGCCCTCGCTGGCCCCTCACGTCGTTGCCCGCCCCTAGTGCCCAGCCGGCCCCTTAGCGCCTAGCCGGCCCGCCCTCACGCCTTCGCTGGCCCCTTCACGCCCAGCCGCCCCCCTTCGCGCCTAACCGGACCGCCACTCGCGCCTCCGCTGGCCCCCTCGCACCCTAGCTGGCCCGCCACTCGCGCCGTCGCCGGCCCCTCGCGCCTAGTGAGCCCCTTGCGCTCAGCCGGCCCCTACCACCTAGCTGGCCCCTGCCACCTGGCCAGCACCTACCACCTAGCCGGCCCCACTCCCGCGCGCCTCCGGCCCCATGCCCCCTACCGGCCCCTCTCTGCACGCTGCACGCCCTCCTCGGCCTTCCTTTCGGTTCAGTTCTAGAGAGTCCTGCCGCCGTGCCGCAGTGCCGCTGAGTCCCTGTGCTGCTGTGCCGCTGTGTCCTCGTGCTGCTGTGGTTGCGCGATGGCGGACGCCATGCTCCGTCTGGATGCGGAGGGGCACGCGATCGACTTTGCTGCCTGGTTTGTCGATCTCCGCCGGCACCTGACAAGTCCGCGCCAGGATGGGCACTCCCTGGCTATGCATGTTGATGGCTTGCTTCCCCGCCCCTCTGCGCCTGATCCCCTCCCTACTGATCCCACCACTGCCTAGAGTGAGGCCTTTACTGTTGCAGCGCTAGCTCGTGCTATCTGGGATTCTCGCGATGCTGTAGCGCAGCTTGCCATCAGTCATGCGCTTCCCCTTTCTGAGCGTCCCCGTTTCACTACTGTCGCGAACGCCAAGGATTTCCTAGATGCAGTAGTTGCACGCTACTCCACGCCTACCTCTGCCTCTTCTGGCCACTTGATCCTCCCCATGCTCTTCCCTGATCTCTCTGCTTTCCCCACGGTTGCTGATCTTGCCACTCACCTTCGCGCACTAGAGACTAGCTACCGTGCCGCTAGCACTACTGCCCAGCTCACTGCCTTCCCCCCACCGTTCTGCGCCACCCTGTACCTTATTGACATGCGCATCCCTGACCGCCTAGTCACTGCCCGTGACCACTTCCTTAGCCAGCACCCAGGCGACCTCACCCTGACCGCCTTTGTCGCTGCCCTTTCTGAGATAGAGACTCGCTAGCGCACTATCGCTCAGTCGAGCGGTGTTGTGGCAGTCCCTATCTTTCAGGGCTGTGCTCCCTCCCAGTGCACGCACGTGGACGTCTCTGCTGCGGTCGCTAGGGCTGCTCCTACTTCCAAGACTGCCGCGGCGGCCTTCCCACAGCAGCAGCGCCAGCGTCGGGGCCGTCGCGGCCCCAAGGGAGGGCGTGGTGGTGGTGGTGGCGGCGACAGTGGTTATGACGAGGGGGCTGGGACCGGTGTCTAGGAGCAGCAGCAGCCGCTGCAGTCGCAGCAGCAGCAGCAGCAGCAGCCGCCGCAGCAGCAACAGCAGCCGATGGCCCGCCTCCTGCCAGGGTGGCCGGGCGCCCCAGGAGGTGGTGGCCGCGGAGGCGGTCCTCGCAGCTCGGCGTCTACCGGCGGTTACGGTGCAGTCGGCTGTCAGTACCAGCTCCAAACCGGGCCCCTCCGGGGCACTTTGTGTCGCCGCCCGCACTCGACTGCCCGCTGCTTCTGCCGCCTCGACGACCTCTTTCGTCGCCACTTCGGCCCAGCCCCGGACCTCCCTGACTGGCCCAGCCTGCTGCGCCATGGTGTCACTGTTTTTTACTTAGATATGGATCATATTAGTTCTGCCTTGCATTCTCTGTATGCTGACGCTTCTAGTGTGTCTGAATCTTATTACCCCGCGTTCCCTAGCTTAGGCATAGCACCTGTGTAGTACAAACTCCCCTGCTGCGTCAGGCGTAGGACCGTTTGCTTTGTCTAGAATAGGTTCCCCACTTGCTCCGCCATCGGCTGCTGCTACTGCTTCGCTGTCCTTCACACTAGACTCCGGTGCGTCTGCGTGCTTCTTCCGCGAACACGCCGCACTCACGCCGCTTGCCGCGCCTGCCGCTGTCGCACTTGCCGACCCCTCGTCTAGTCCTGTTGTTGCTCGCAGCTACACTACCCTCCCTTGCCCCGCGGTCCCCTCGGGCTCCCTTACAGGTCTGCACATCCCCTCGTTCTCCCGGAACTTAGTTGGTGTCGGCTGTCTTCAGGACCTCGGCGTCACCACTACATTCCCGGGTCACGAGCGGTTCGCCGAATGTACCGAGGCTACCTCAGGTTCCCCCCTTGCGATGTTCCCCCGGGACCCGGTGTCTGGCCTCTTTACGCTGGACACTGCTTCCCCCCTGGTTGGACCGTCCCTCTCGGGTCCTGCATTTACCCAGGTCGCCGCCGCGTGCTCGTGTCGGTCCCTCACTCACCCATCACTTCTGTGGCACCACCTCCTAGGGCACCCCGCACTCCCGCGTTTATGTCACATCTCCCAGTACGGTCTGCCCTTCTCCCCCCTCCAAAAGAAACAGCTCGCAATTGCTCCAGAAGACTCCCACACGAACTTTAAAGAAAACCCCATAACTCAGCTTCCAAGATGCCGCTGCAAAACTTCGCTCCAGGTAAATTGTCTTCAGGGTAAACCGTGTCGAAAACCTTAAAAATCCGCAACTACTGCTCCACAAGACTCCCACACGAACTTTAAATTTCGTCAAAGGTCAAAACACTGCGTACGAGCTGGCCCCAACACAGCTCCACAGTACTGCGGCAAAATCTCCTTGTTTTGATACGGCTGCTGTAGATTCGAATGGCGAGGCGGGGTCGTGTTCACACTGTCTTGCGAATCAGGCAAATTGATGATGGAGGCGGTAGCGGGTGATGACGAGAGGCTGACGACGATGACGATGGAGAGTAACCGATACGAATCCCGCTCCAGTGAAAAACCTCGAACGGAACCCAGGGTCGAATGACGCCAACTGCATCAGCTTCTTTGTCCGTACACGCCGAAAATTTCAAGGAGAGATGAAACAGTTGCTGCGCTTCTCCTCCTCTATGCACCCAAAATATTCCGAGATTATCGGTCGATGTCGCTCGTACCCCTGAAGATAGCGGGCACTACTCCAGCTGTAAAATCTTGAACTGCTCCTCAAACCCACCGAAAATGTCGGAACCACTCGGTACTTAGCAAATACCGTAACCCCGCTTCACAACTAACAGTAAAAATGCCCAGGCGTTACGGCGTCCTTTAGCAGCGCCCCCACGGTTTCTCCACCAGCTGTACGCATGAACAGAACCCTTTATCTTAGGGTTTACCGGAGTCCACCGCCTCGGCATGAGGTTTTGGCCATCGATCAGGGTCAATGCGCATCATACGCTGTCGATCTCCGCCCAGCTGTTACCCAACTCTAAAATACTCCGGTACCCCTGTCCAGCTGGCAGTGCAGACATTCACCCATCTCGCGGCTGCTACAGGTTACCCAAAACCGCTTTGCTGCTGCTTAACTAACTAGGAGAATCCGCACAGATAGGAGTACGCACGCTTCTAGTCAGAGGAGGTTTAACGAGCTCGTCTACTGACCGCTGGACAGCTCCCTCCTCCGTCGGAAACTCGTCAAACTACACCTGCAAAAGTCGGAACCTCCTTCTGCTGCACCAGGTGAAAACTCTCAGCTCCACTGCAACAGTAGCTCCGAAATTTTCGGGGACACTCTATCAGCACAGTGTACTTCGTAGGTTCACCCCCCTTATTCAGCCAGAAGCCGCCGATTTATCAGTCGACACTGCTACCTCATGGGAATGGTGATTTCCGGGCGACGTAGCTGAGCGAGTAGCAGCCCGAATGCCATTAACCCATCTGATCCACCCATCGTGCGATCGTGCCATTCCGAAACTGTCGGATCCGCCCATTGCCGAAACAGTTTTGAAGTTCCGTCCATCGCCTGCAACTAGCCTGCCGGAAACGCCAGGACCCGCAACACAGCTACAGTTCATCCTGCAGCTTCATGGCGCACCAGATGTACATCGCCATACATCCTGCCATTTTTGCCACCCCGCGCGCTCCTAACGACCAACTCCCGGCCGCCTGAGGACTCCCGTGCACTTGTCTCCTCATGACGAAGCCTTCGTTTTTTGCGGAAGCCAATCCAAAAACTCCGTCTGAACACGAGAAAATTACGAAAGCTCTAACGAACATACCCGAAAAACACGGCGAAAACGTCGCCCACTCTTCGACAGGAAATAATTCCGTCTACGCCCAGGGAAGGGGAGGACTGGCAAATCCCAGCCGTCCATCGGACAGGATCTGACGGCATCGGCAACGCCCGCGCAATTAATTTCCGCGACATCCGCTCGCCATC